TCTACAATTATCTCGATAAAAACTTCAATTAGAAAAACCCAAGTAATTAATCCTACCAATAATGATCATATAGTAAGACTCAAATATTGGTAATATTAAATTTAGGTTGTAATTTAGAGGAAGATCCTAAAGGCTTCTAGGCATAAAAGAATAAATAAATGTGCTAACTAAAACTTGATGTTCATGTGAAAAGTAAAAGGAGCCTAGATCCCAGATCTAGGGAAGACCTTAAAAGCTAATCCGACCTAGCAACTGGCTGCTGAGGCACCAGCTAGGGTACAGCAATGCGCTCTCAAGAGACATTTGTTATAGCTGTCCACTTCCACCAGGAGCCCTGTGTACAACATCTCAAACAGACTTCACTCGGTCACAGCACTAGTAGGTTTGGGAGCAAAGACTAGTACATGCATTTTACGCATACTAATAAGAACTACCATTTACTGAGTGCCTGATATAATAGACTATTAAATCTACATCCACGGTTTAATTTAAATCCATGATTTCAGTTAAATGAAGGATTTCAATTAAATCCATGATTTATTTTTAACTTTGGATGAGAGGCATTATTATTTCCATTTTACAGGTGAACAAAGTAAGGCTTGGAGAATTCAATTAACCTGCACTGGTACCAGCTGGAGCCAGGGTAGAGTGTGGATATGTGTGGGTCATTGCTGCCCTCTTTTCAGCATACCCATTGCCTTCAAAAGGGACTGTAACTGTGCTTGCTCCTAGACAAATACATATGGGACATTTGCCTGATCATTTCCTTTGGATTAGGAGTTCTTAATCTAGGGGCTATGAGACCTTACAAGAGTCACAAGTTTCAGATTGTGTACCCACTGAAATCAGATAACAAAACTTGGTGTGTATTTGCACACATGAGTTTTTCTTGGGAAAGGGTTCATTGTTTCCATCATATTCTCAAAAAAGGGTTCATTGTTTCCATCATATTCTCAAAAGAGGTTTGAGACTCCAAACAGAGTAAGAATTACAGCAGTCAGATCCAAAGAGATTTTTTTTTTTTTTTAACTGGAAAATGTTTCAAATGCCCAGTAACACTGAATCAGGGAGGTGATACATCTGGGGGAAGTAAAATCAGCTGCCAAATCCTACAGAAAAAGCAGGGTCAAAACTGCTCTTTGTAAAGTCATTGCAAAGAGGATATTTGAAGAGATTCACCGAATTTCATCTCTGTCTCAGCAGAATTGTTTGACATTTCCCAACTATTTGTTCCAGATATCTTTAGAGCCCAGTAACACTGAATCAGGGAGGTGATACATCTGGGGGAAGTAAAATCAGCTGCCAAATCCTACAGAAAAAGCAGGGTCAAAACTGCTCTTTGTAAAGTCATTGCAAAGAGGATATTTGAAGAGATTCACCGAATTTCATCTCTGTCTCAGCAGAATTGTTTGACATTTCCCAACTATTTGTTCCAGATATCTTTAGAAGATAGTATTTTTGAAAAATCTGATACATGATCATGGTACACCTTAAGTTCAATATAAGGGCTGGCCCACAGCCTTAGCACAAAATTGTGCCTGATGATTTTTAAGTGGGCAAATATCTTTTATCATCTTTATCAATTTTTAATGGAGTCAGGTGTAAAGCTAGAAGATACAGCAGCTACTGGTGACTGTATTTATACTGAAATACATTCATTTTCATGCCTTTGCACAAACCATTTCTCTGTCTCCAATGCCCTTCCCCACTTCTTTGCCCAAGAAACTTGAACCAGTACTGCCTTTGAGTTCTAGATCCTGTCTTCTATGACTCTTCTAAGATCACTCCCATTTCTCTGATCCCATGCAGAATTCTTATAATCGATGTTCTAGCCCTCTGTAGACATCTCCATGCTGTATCATTGTCAGTTGTTCATGTCCATTTCATCCAGTCAACTGAGCCTCCAAAATGCTATAGCTGCGACTTATTTGTATTCCTTTCCTCTAGCCACATGGTAGGTGGCCCATGTTTGTCGATGAATAAAATATTAGCTTCCATTTAGGAAGGTTCTACTTGTGCAGGCTATGTTGAAAGACACCGTTAGATGTTTCTAGCTAAATGACGACAGCAATTACTTGTTAATGAGTAAACATAATTCCTTTCAGTAACTTCCAGAAGTGACCTCCTGACTCAGGTGTTGAGGAAACAATCGAGCAAAGAAGGTGCAGACATCTAGGCAGGTAAGAAAACAGGTTAATAAAAAAAATGCTTTTAGGTGAAGAAAATAATTGGGGATCAGAACAGGGGCCATAGAGATTTAGTCTGGTTTAGAGAGAAGAGACTTATTCAATATGGAAGGAAAGAGGAGGGAGAAATACTGACTAGACTGAAAGAGAAATGGGGATTACTTGGGGGCGATAGAGACTCTGGAAGGAATTTTTCCAACCCCGACTCAATATCAAAGAAACAGGTGGATTCTAGATATACCACGCTGTTGCTTAAGTATAGCTTATATTCTTGGATAGTTTACTAGAATTATTGAATGTCTGAGTTGCAAGGGGCTGGAGAAATGATGTAGGCCTGTCCTTTTATTTGATGGATTGAAGCTCAAAGAAGCCTTGAATCCAGTCCAGGAGAGACTCTGCTTTCACCAGGCTCAGGCTGAGGCAGGAAGGCATGTCAAAGATGTCTAGGGAGAGGGCTCTATTCTGGACTGTGACTTCAGAAAAGGCTCATGGCTGCACGGGGTGGTAACAATGGCTCAGAGCCTGGTTTCCTTGGGATATAAACCAAATCAATGCGTTCAAAGAATTAGTTGATCAAAAACAAGTTTGATAAACCCAGCTTTTTCCATGAGCATATTATTTCCTCTCTATAACACATTAACAGAGAGGAGTTGGTTTGCTGGAGCTTTTAGTTCTAATCCTCAAAGCTGGGAGGAAAGGAAGTGTGAGCAGAAGGCAGGGAAATATACGCTGTAAAGCTTTTTTATTTGGTTAAATTGTATGCGGACTTGGATAATAACAATCGCCTACATCTGTCTCTACTTTATCCTTCTCTTGAATCTTGCTCACCTTGTCCATATGTGGCACTTCCTGTGATTCTGGCAACTTTGTTACGGGTCAATAGAGAGCACTGGTTGAGCAAACACACCTAAAGGACTTTGTCTCTGAGGAATCACTCCCTTGAAATTGCATGATCTAAAAGCTCTTTACTTAAAAAAAAAAAAAAAAGATATTGCCTATTTGTGCAAGGTGCTTGTGTAGTAACAGGCCACAAGTTCATGTAACTCTCCCTTCAATAACTATCAGAAGCCCAGAGCCTTGAGTCAGACTTGGAAAATAAGCTCGGTTCTCCGAAACCTCAACGTCCGCATCCGCAAACAGGTTCCCTCTGAGAACGTGGCGAGGATCAAGGGAGACCTTCCCGCCCGCCTCTGGGCACCCCTGGCACTGGCTACCAGGGACCTCGTCTCCGCACACCTGCGGCCCGTTCCGCTGGCCTCCGGGCGCGGGGTTCCGCTTTCCTCCAGGATCCCAGAGAGGTGGCCTTCGGCCTGGAAGAAGCGGGAAGCCGGGTCACAAGCTCGAGACACCGCGCGCCCGCAGCTGGGCGGGCGACG